TGTGTTTAATGCATTGTTCTAGATAAATTGCCGTGTTCGTCACGTATTCGGTTATACGATAAACAAAATATTAATCGAATGAAATTTATACACTCGGATTTATATCCACACTTAAACTAGTCAGGTATTTTAACAATTCATTCGAATATATCGGGTGTTTTTGAGGCGTTAGGTCTGTTTTTAAAGAATACTTTTGTACACGTTTCTAAATTTAAATCACGAGTTACCGAATTCGGTTGATTTTCTCGAAATACACGCTCAACGTTCACCTTTCGTCGATAATAACTAATGCATTCAGTTTTTATAAAAGTCGTGTATTGTAATTTTTAACACGAGAAACGACACGTAACCGATAAGATCTGGAAAATTTCTCAGAATATTCCGTTCGACTTTATGCAATTCACGCGTAACGTGGCATTAAAAAATTACGTAACGATAAAAGAGAACGTCTGTTACCTCGCAATACACTATTGTACGGTATAAACGTACGTAAATACAGAATGCAGCATAAATAACACCACGCCATGCATTTTTCTCCAGTAAATTCTGCATACATCTCACTCGTTTTCGTTGTAGTTATTGCTCGATCGGGCGGTTAATGAAAATTTTTTCGATACCCCCGTGTAAGTTTCTTCTTCTTTTTTTTAGAAAATAAAAAGGAAGTCGAGACGATTATTACCGTCTCAATCGACTTTTTATAGTCTGGATCAGTGCAATAATTTTTCATTTCGGACATCTCTCCCAGGACAAATATATAATGATATCTTACATATCCAGCCACGTACTATATCCCATTACACTGTTTCAATCTTCTATTAGCGATCACTTATCTTCACGTCACGTTCTTCATAATTCTTCACGCGTGACGTGTAACCGGAGTTCCGTTATCGAGTGGGTGGGGTCGCTTTTACTCTGTCACGCTCCCGAACGTGACCTTTTCGCGGAAACGAAACGGCCGACGGGCATTAAATCGGTTAATTAAACCAACACAATTAATTATTCGTTAAAGACGAGTAAGGATCAAACCCTTCCACTACCCCCTCCACCGAAATCGAGTCGAAGGCGTAGAAACGGGGGGGAGGAAGAAAATCGAGAAGCAAATTGAATACAGCCATGACGTCTTCGGGTTAAAATTGGATTTCGGTAAAATGGAACACATATTTCGTGTTAGGTGAACCTAGAGGAGTTCGCGCATAACAGGTTCTTCCTTAAGTTTGATTCACGTTCGCGTTACGTCACGCCTGATACGATAATGTCGCATTATGACGTTATCTTAAAATATTACGTCATAAAAAACACGCGCACGATAGGGATATTGAGCGCGTAATTTCCCTCGTTTGCCAGCGCAAAAAAAAAAACACATCTAGAACACTTTTTTTCCCTCATTTTAAAATTATTTTTAAATCTAAAAACACTTAATTGCATCGTGCAATTTTCTCCGATTTATTTATAAACGAAGCTGTTTTTTTAAAAAAAAAAAGGAATTGCAGAAAGTCACGAAGCGGCGTACGTTCTGTCGACGAATCCGAAATTATTTTCTTTAAATTATACAAATAAAAAGACAATTTAATCGAAAGAGAAGGGGGAGGAAAATATATATATTTCCTTTTAATCGTGTGTTTGTTTGGCAATTTTTCTCATCAATACGTTCGTTCAACGAGCAGAATATTCCCTAAATAATAAAATACCGACGTTAAAAGCCTTAGCAAAGAAAAGAATTTTAAATGACTTATATAACTTAATTAATTAATTTAATAAAATGTAAAAATAAATTGCCATTATTAAAACGTTCAATTTAATTAATATCCGAACGTTGTTGTTTATTATTACTCCATCACCCGACTGTTTATCAATAGGGAAAATTAAATAGGTTGAACGTGTTCCGTGAAGGAAAAACAGGGAAAAAAAATACCTTAAATATTAGGTCAAAGGATAATTAATGTCGAAGGAAACATTTATAAACGTACAGCAACTTTAACAATATATTTATTAAGAGTAGTTTTCTACAAGATGCTCTTATAGTTTACGCTCTAACAGTTATTAACACTCCGAGTATTTCGATAAATACAATACAATATAACCTTTAATAAAACGGCAACCCGTCCGAACGGCCAATTTCTCTATTAAAACACACGGGTTTTATTGTATATATAATTTTTAGGCGGTGTTACTCGACGTTTTAAAACGGTATAAACAGTGCCTTGTACTGGATTTTAGTGTATTGTTACGGAATAAATAAAAATAAAATAAAAAAATCTGGAATGTGTCAGGACATTCTGTTTAGATTTTATCAGTATTTCGATAAGTTCTCTTCAGGATTTCGGGTTTCATTTTGTCAATGAACTGTTTCAATTTTGGCAACAAAGTAAGTAACGCGTATCAATCGATAAACTGACAAACGCATTTCGATGTCTTTCTTCCCCCCTTTAGTGTTGTAAAAAAAACAAAGAAAAAAAAAGCACAACTCTCTCTGTAACAAAAGACCTCATTAAGATATTCCAACGAATTGAATTACCGATAGTAACATTAACTTAAGTTTTTAGTATAAAAACCGAATTTATCTTTGCTTAAAACGGGTTAAAAAAGCCAACTTATCTTGTACCCTTGTTTTTTTTTTCGTTTTTCGAGTCTTAAACCCGTCAATGCTTGAATTCAAAGGGAAATCTTTAATTTTTCTCTTCTATTTTATTGTATCTCCGCGGAAGAAAGTCGAATTTAAAAAAAGTTCTGTACGACTTTCCGCCATTTACGTGCCGGATTTCTCGTTTCGGATCAAACAAGAAAGCAGAAACAATAATTCCTCCATCAGTTTATGCGAAAATATATATTTAATTTGTATAATTTTTTCTTATAATATATTTATTTAATCGGAGAAATGTTTCGACGGACGAGAGGATATTAAACAAAAAATAAAATCTGTCAGAGAAAATTCCATTTTAGATTTGTCTTCGAGTACAATTCAAGCAACAAAGACGTAACTTCGCTTCTATTATTTTTCTACAAAGAAAAATGACGTACGAAAGACGAAAATCGTTAAATTTCTGATAGAAAATTGCCTCTTTTAAATACTACAACAGAAATTCCAGACTTAAAAAAAAAGTAACATAATTATTACTTAATCGCATTCGAAATATTCTAATTCCTTATTTTCTTTTCATTAAAAATTTAAATAATTGACAGACATATTTTTTTCTCCCCTTATGATTACGTCAAAAAGAAAGAAAGAAAAAAATGGCGACAGTTTAATTCCCATTTTTTTTTCGGTTTCGGATTTTTCAATTATGATTGATAATAAAAAAAATTCTTAAATAAAAATTATATGATTAAATTCTATTAAATATTTTAATAAATAAATACAGAGAAAAATTTTAAAGCCGTGCCGAACAGAAATCAAATTTTTATTCAAAAAAAAAATATAAATTTATCCAAAGGAAAAAAATATCCTGGGATTTTTATCATAATTTCCACACAGATGCAAAAAGTATTCGAATGGAAAGTATTTTATATATTGAATATTTAAATAATTTAATTTATTTAAACAAGAAAAAAAAAACACCGTATTTTTTAACAACCAACTGTAAATTCCGGTACGTAAAATCGATGAAAACATTTAATCTTCGGCGTAAATAATTAGAAAACTACAACTTTCCAATGCTTTATCTTTAAAATTTAGTCGATTCTTTAATGAAAACTCTTTAATTTTCCATCATTTTAAATTATGAAAGAGGAGTAACTTAGTCAACACGATAGAAAAATAAATAAAAAATGGCCATTCTTTTATCTGCCATACTTAAGCACGAGGAAGGACGTCGGAAGGTTATAAAAAGAGCCATCAGAGCATGAAAACTATGAAAGTAAGCTTAACCTTGCTCGACATCAGATAGCCCATCTTACATTAGTAAACGCCCGTTATCAATATTTTTTTTATTATTTTTTGGGTAGAAAAAATTACGGAGATATCCCCGAAGTTTTTTACTGTTTTCTCTCTCCCCCCCTCGGTAATCTTCTACTATTTCTATGCGGTGCCCTGAAAGTTAAACGTGGGAAGAAAACCTGAAATGACAAACTATATTTTCGAAAGTTTGTGGGAAGTGTTGACCTATTTACTTCGCTCCAATGAGAAAAATAAAATTATATTCTACTTCTTTATAATATCAATGTACGTGTATTAACATACTGTATTTTTATACGTTATATATATATATATAAATGAGATAAAATTATACTTTTATCGTTCTACCGCCTGTAAATAAGTGTCTGATACGTTTTTAATTTATATAATCGGTTATTTTGTAAAGAAGAAACGAATAAATCGGTCTTTAATTTGCTTGTTTTGTGTCGAATCTATCGAATGTCTGGACGTTAAAATCGAGCCAAAAGAGCAAATATGTGAACTGGAAAGCTTATTTGTTTACGTTTCACTGATGCATAAACATAATCTGACGTACAGATAAAGTATACGAACGTTCGATACGCTCAATCAGTTTAATGGTTTCTTTACATCTAAACGGTAAAATACCCCAGGGTCACCAATTTACGATTTACTTTTTATTTATTTTATATATATATTACTATTTTTTTTCGTTTTGTATATCTACTTTTTCTCTTTTTAATCGCGAATTCTCGGCACGTCTAACCGCAAAGCTGCAATTGTTACACCATCTGCTACATTTATAGGACAACTTGTTAGCGGGAATTTCTCAGTAAAATCGAAACAGTACTTCACCCTTAACGTCTCTTTTTTTAATCCCCGCCTTTATAATAATATTCGATATAAAAACTTTTAAAATTTTCAATACACATTCATCGGTTGATTTCGATATAATTCATCTTTTATCATTGGCACGTGCAGCATCCCCGTTAACCGATTTGACAGTTTTTCACTTAGAAGAAGATGCGGGGGGATAGAGTAAGATGGTAGATAGAAAGAAGAATTGTAGATAGGAAGAGGGAATTTAAATAGGGGAAGAAGTAAAAGAAAAAAGAAAATTTCTACTCACCCTGTTCGCTTAGAGACGATCGTACGATAAACAACAATCCACATATTAATAAAGGGTATAGTTTAGATCCACATAACGTTTCCATGTCGGGTCGAACGATAATAATTTAGACGAGATGACGATCTTCCACCATTTCTCCAATGGACGTCTGCCTCTTTCCACTCCAGCTTCCCGAATGACGGGTTCAACTTGCTTCCAACCCGATAGGAAAGGCGCATGCTCTAACACCCGGTCGAAATTTACTTCCTCCTTTCCCGATTGTTTTCGATTTGACGTCACACCACCACTAAATGAGTTTTTCAAACATTTAAAACTCCATTTTACTAATTTCTACCGTATAATTTGCAGGCGTTACCGAATGGAAGGGGGAGGTGGGCATTTGTAATTTTATCTTCCGGTACGTAAAATTTGATTTAATTGTAGTTAGCTTTATCAAAATTCCCTTCTATTCTCGTATAAACAATAAACTAAATTGAAATTTCCACTTCAAAACACGTGCGGGGAGGGGGTAGAAATATTTATAAAAAAAAACGAGTGAAAGGAATGATAACCGCTCCCAGATTCTAATTTACTTTGCATAAATCTCCGACTTTCCATACATTAAATTTGAATTATCAGGAAATTCTGAGAGCATTTTTAAATAAAAATAAGTAAAGTACAACCTATCTGGTCTTAGCATCGCATAAATATCTATTATCCCATCTTCTCTGAGTAAAAAAAATATATATATATTATAAATGTGTTATGCTCACTCCTCGTCCATGTTTATATTTAATAAACCCTTGGCAAATGTTATTTTTAAAAGCTAACTTTCTCTTATTGATCTACGACAGAATAAAAAATGGTAAAAAGAAGTGAAAGTCGAGATGTTCTATGATCAAAATCGAACTAAATATTTTAAATTCTTTATATACATAAAGGGAAAAGGATTATAGAAATCCCTAAATGTTTATTTTTTTTTTTCTTCCAGTAAACAATTGGCTAAAGATAAAATGATTTCGAATTTATTCTTATTTTTCTCCTTATAAATTCCATCCGTTTTGTGTTATATCTTTTATAATATATTTAAAATGTCGAAATACTTTGTAAAAATCTATATTTTAAACACTAGAGAAGATCTCCCTCCCCCTGCTAAAATACTTAATGATTTTCTTCCCCTCTTAATCTATCTCAGATTAAATTTACTTAACAATAATTCTGAAGTTAATTTTATTATTTTTTTCTCCATCGAAATTTCACTTTTTCTACACAATTTTTTTTATTTTTGCAAATTTCTTTAAAATACTTCCCTTTAAAAAAAACACACACAAGCTGGAGACGTTTAAATTTATCTCAATAAATGCATATTTTGACAGTAATTTATACTAAAGTGTTTTTGTGTACAAGAACTGTTTAGAATCATTTTAAATCGGTTTTAAAAAGGACTTTTTTCTACACCCAAAAGTCGGTTAACCGTGTTTTCGCCTGTTCCCGGTACGATTCATAAATATTTAAAGCATCCGAAGGAAAATTTTTAGTGGTAGCGGTGGGTTAACCGACTTTTGGGCGGCACCGTACGTTCGTGCCAGTGACGACAGGTTGGGAAATTTGTAAATTCTCTCCACCTCTATCGATTGTCCCGTTTCGACCGCGGAAAGAATTTGACACAAAAGACGTTTGTACCGTTTCAAAATTCCCTGATAATTCGAATAAATAAACCTGTCACTTCCCTTAATGTATATACAATGGTCGAGACTGATTTAACCGATCGATTCTTTCGAATACAGCGCAAACACTAAACTGAATCCTTAGCAAATTCAGACAATGGGCACGTGTCAAATATATTAAAATCTTAATATTATTGATACGAATTTATTATTATTTTTAAATTAATGTTTTCATTGAGTAATATATGAGGTGGCCCGAAAGTTAGTTAACCGTTTTTTAAGTAAATGAGTGGGAGAATTTGATCAATTATTGAATATTCAACAGGCCAAAAGTACTCCCCTATTAACCGGTACAATTCTTAGAAATTAAATATAAATTATCGAATATATAAAGTAGTGACATATAAAACTAGTTATCCTCCATGCCCACATTATAAACTTTTAAACTAATTTTTTTCTTAAGTAAATTGTATTATTCCTGGCACATTCCTGGAGACAATTAACATAATTTCTATATTATTTTTCTTTATTGAAACGTCACAGTTAGTTGGTTTCATTTGAATATTCTTGGGCAAAGTCGAATGGTGTGAATGAGAGAGAAAGAGAGAAGATTAAGAAAACGTGCTGGCGATAATATAAAAGGAGAAAACTAAACCCACACACGAACGTCTATTGTTAGTGTAAGGATAAGAAGTTTAACGATTCATATATCTGGAAATTGGAACGAGAAATACCGGTTGATATCAAACAATAGAGAATCGCTTGTATGACCCACTTGCAAAACAATATTAACATCTGTTTAAAGACATTTAAATGATTCACACAATTCTTTTCCAAAATGAACTTATAAAAAGCCATTTTTATAAATATTTTATAACAATTCTTGTCGTCCCCGATAATAATTTATACTCAAAGAGGATTTTCTTCGTGTCTTTTTTTTTCTTAAGAGTTAGCGAGTAATCCCGTTCAATTGATATTTTATAAGAGGAAAATATTTCTTTAGATAAATCCACATAACTGTAATTCCATACAGATAATCTGTCTTCAATACAGCGAACGTTTCTTGCCTTCCAGATCTCCGGAGAGACGACAGAATTAATCTGTCTGTCCGTAGATCATTCGATTATCTTGGCAATATGATTACGTAATAAGCTTACAATTATACGTATAAAGTCATTTTTTTGCCATCAATTTATAATTTTGACGAATTTTTCGGGGAATTTTTTTTACCCCAATGGTGAAAAATGGCTTGGGTTCGTGCTTCGAAAGCGAAGATTTTTTCCCTTAATCTGGGCGAGTGGTGTTTTTTTTTTTACTTTTTCCTTATCTTACAGCCGGAGATGCTGTCACCGAATGTGAAAAATAAGTAAAAGAAGAAGTTCCGAGCACACAATATTGATGTCGTGAGTTGAAATATCGACGATTAAAGGTGAAAGCGGACATTCCAAATGCTGGAAATGAAGCTAGCAAAAATGCCAGAGCTCCACTCTTAAAATGAAGAAGTTTTATTACAGGTAGAAGGATTATAAATCCTTGCTTTATTAATTCCCTCAACACAAGAGTTGTACTTAATGAATATGGCGGTCGGAATGTCGAACGAGATGAAAGCCTTTTTGCTTACTCTTCTGTGGTCACAGAAGATGAACTACTGTTCCAAATACAGACATTGCAATATTCGGATTTTCCAGTAAAATGCAATTATTCTTACTGGAAATTCGGTTCGAACATAAAAAAATCTTTCCGTTCTACCGGTTAATTTATACAAAAAATAAGAAAGGAAGAGAGAGAGGGGGAAAGGAGGGAGAAGCTCTATTTGCTTAATTTACAAGCGGAAAGATGGTAAATCTCTAAAGAAATTCAAACTTATCAATAGGAATCCATAAAAAAAAATTAGAAAATTTTATTTATAAAGTTAAAGCGATTGTTATTTTGAATTCCCCAACAGAGACTTTTATTTTTGAAACTATTTTCTTTCTGTTTTTTAATAATACAAAAAAAAACAATTTTTTTACTAAATTTAAGGCACGGTTACAATTTTTTTATGGATTTTTTTATGATTTTATTCTATTTTTCTTCTGCTGGAGATTGCATTTTACAAGGGATGGAACCGGTCGAGATTTTAAACTTTACTCTTCTACATAGGTGTATGGATGTGTATAAAGCGCGCACTCCCCGTATTCATATACCCGAAATGAGATTTTTTTTAAAAGTGAATATCTGGAATACTTTTTCTAGGTATAATGTATAATGCATTTGGAAAAAAATTCTGTAACAAGTTAACCGAATGACTAGTAGACTTATGAGCACGGAATAAATATCAATTCACGTCCTTGACACTTTTATTGAGAGTGAAGGAAGAGAGAGACTCTTAATTTAAGACCTTGATACCGTTGTAAAAACCTTGAAAACCAGACATAATTATTCTAAAGTAGGCGTTTAAAAATATCGAAGAAATTCTGGAACGGTGATTTGGGCTTAAAAAACAAAAGAATAATAAAAAAAAGTAAGGGTAGTATCGGTTACAGGATCTGAACAGCTGTGACCAAAAAGAGACAAACGGCAATTTGTACAAATGGCAAAATCCATTACAAGTTTGTTTGAAATCTTTAGCGAGAAATTTGCTCGAATGGAGCCATTACGGTAGTAAACTGGTCGCAATAATTTGCCGCTTACTAAGATGGAGGAAGAGGAAGTGTTGTTTGTTTATTGGAAAGACGAACGGTCCACGCTTTTAATGGATGTCAATCTTGAAACTTAATTCCCGGACATGCTCTTATTTGTGATCATCAATCAGTTTAACCACACCAAAGTTGATTGTTTAAAATCGATTTTGTGACTGCGAAAATTTATAGTTTTACTTCTATACTGTATAAAATCCAGATTTGTATGTATTCGAAGTCATTCTTTACGCTGTCGTTCGCAGAAGTAACTATCAATTTTCGGGTATGTTTCAATTTTTTGCAGAATTTCTTCGTGTTTTTTGCAATTCTTCACCTACGTAACCTGTTAACTAAAACACCAGATGCATCTTACTTTGCAGCGAAATCTTCGGGGGGAAAAAATGCCCGGTGTGTGTGTGGATATTCGGGTTTTTACAATTCAAATTTTTATTCCTTTCGCAAACTAAATGCATTTTTATAATATAAATTTGGATTTTTATCAGACGGCGAGTTATAATTTTGAAATGATGTGGGATAATAGAGCTTCTTCCCACGTAAAAAAATTCCCTTTTTTGGTTTATTAGAAACCGGAATGAACTCGTTCTACTGGTATAATAAATTAAAATTTATTGGATTTCTTCCGTTATTTAACATACTTTACCTTATAAATAATTATTTACAGTTATATATATTCGATTTTTTAAAATTTAATTTACTTTTACAACCTTTACATTAATTAAAATGTACGGCATTAATTTTAAATCCTCCGTTACTTCCGCTTACACTTTTTAAAACATTTGTTAATTAATGTAAAATTTATTAATTTATTTGTAAAATATCATCAAACTACGAGTTTTTAATTCGAATTTATGAGACGAGATTTTCGAATAATTGGAAACGATCCAAATTCGGATTAGTGTCAT